CACCTCGATCGCCGACTCCTCCGCCTCGATCGCCGACACCTCCACCTCGATCGCCGACACCTCCACCTCGATCGCCGACTCCTCCACCTCGGTCGCCGACTCCTCCACCTCGATCGCCGACTCCTCCACCTCCACCTCCGACTCCTCCGCCCCGATCGCCGACTCCTTCACCTCGATCGCCGACTCCTCCACCTCGATCTGCGACTCCTCCACCTCGACCTCCGACTCCTCCACCTCCACCTCCGACTCCTCCACCTCCACATCTATTTCGATCCCTTACGCCGGTTCATGAGCTGGTGGACGAGAAGCTGTTGCGCGAGGACGAGATGTTGTCCGAGGGAACTCCATCCGCAGGAATGCCGGTGGTTGAAGATGAATACCTGTTTAACGAGGACGAGATATCACTGTCTGACGACTGGTCCATGGCCAACGGTGAGTTGCCGTTAACCAAGAAAGAACAGCAACTACTTGGGGAAATCCCGACGACTACCCTGGAAACCTGGACGGCGTTGGAACGTGAGTTGGCGGCCAACGCGAAGGAAGCCGCGACACGACGGCGGTTTCTGTACTTGGCCTTGAACACCCGGCCACTCCCCGAACGGGCGGCCGCTGTCTTTGGCGAGGGAGACCAGTACGTGAATTGGACCGTTACGAAACCAAAATTCGATGACGAAGCAATGCTGTTTGGGAAGGCCTGGGCCCGGTTCTTGTTGATGCACGACGGCATGGGCATGGCTGCAGCCGCCAGCAAGTCCTGGGAGGCCGACTTTGTCGCTTTTTGCCAGCTTCTGTGGAAGGAAGAGATATTCCTGGTATTAGACGAAGCCCTCCAACTCTACGAGACCTGGATCCGACTGCTCAACAGCAACTCGTCCAGTCTTCACGAACACCTGGAGGAAGCGACTCACGACCTAGGAAACATTAATTACACATTCTGGTCTGCGTATCTGGGCGAGTTGACCGAGTACGAAAAGTTCAAGGATCAGGGGTTGAATGACGATGGGAAGTTGAAGGGCGCAAAAATAGACTATGAACCGCCGCTGCCAGACCGACGATTCGAATCTCTTTACGCCCACTGGGAAGACCTGATAGACGAATATTTATTCCACAGTTCAGTCCAGCCTTCAGTCCAATCGTCGGGCCAGCCTTCAGTCCAATCGTCGGCCGGGAATTCAGCCCAGCCCTCATCCGAGCTGTCAGTCCACTCTTCCCCCCAACGGTCAGCCCAGCCCTCACCCGAGCTTTCAGTTTACTCTTCCCCCCGACAATCACCCCAGCGTTCACCCGAGCCGTCAGTCAACTCTTCGCCTGAATGGTCGCCCCAGCCTTCACCCGAGCCGTCAGTCTACTCTTCACCCGAACCGTCAGTTCGAGCTTCGCCGGAGCCGCAGCCAAACTACGGCCGCCCTCTTGTTCAGCGTAGATCTTTTTAATGTGAATCAGTGGGTCAATTAGCTGACAACGATATTAGCATCTGATGGCTTGGAGAGCTTGCGCTGGAGCGATTTGGTTAAAAAGTCCTTGATGCTTGAGGTGGGTATGCATAGACTCCAGTTTCACAGTGAGACGGTCGTGCTTTGTACCAGATAGCTTCTTAAGCAGTTCCAGGCCGTGGAGCTTGTTAATAAACTCGTCTTCGGCTGAGGGACAGTGCTTGACTAGTCCGGCAAGCACACTAAACACCTTGGTCACGTACCGCCGTTGATTCTCGTCTTCACCGAGCGCGTATGGTACACAGGTATCCAGCTCGGCGACCACTGTGGCGAGCAAACCGTTCTCATAAAACTTGTTCTGGATAGGTAGGTTGTTAGGCAACGCCAAGGCCAAGCACTCACAGGTCTTTTCACGCACCGTCACGTCACCATGCTTCATACACTCGTGCAGCAAGTGGATTAATGTTCGACAACCCACTGGGCCCGTCTCGCAGCCTGTGGTGGAGTCTGGCGCTGTGGTGGAGTCTGGCGCTGTGGTGGAGTCTGGCGCTGTGGTGGAGTCTGGCGCTGTGGCGGAGTCCGTTGGCATTTCATACTTGTCAAGGTGTCGCGCTAGCTCCGGTTCCACGTCGAAAGCCTCTTCTATGACTGCAATTGCGCCCAGGACACGAGCTGAGTTGTTCGCGGCTAAGTCCAGTGCGGTCGACTCGGAAATTATAGTCATCGCTTCGGTTACCATCTGACCTGCGTTTACTTGCTGGCCGCAAAACTCTTCCATAGCTTTCTGCAAGAAGTCCAAATCCTCTTTGCTGCGAACGCCTCTGTCTCCTAACTCGGTGGGTGCCGTTCCATCATTATATTGCAAGCTCCACTTCAGCAGGCCCGGCCAGTCGACACTGCTCATTTTCAAGTGCCAAAAAAATCCGAGCCAGCCATTTTGCTCTTTTAAAAACCCCGAGCAGCACTTTTCATCAGTGCGCAGTACAGCAGGCTGGTCCAGTCTCACCGTTACCCTTGACTTCATGGCCAAGGCATCATGAAACCACGAGGCATCATGGAACCACGAGGCATCATGGAACCAAGGGGCGTGAAGGAAAATAATCCGCAGCGAGATAGTTCGCACGAATTTCATGACTGAAAGGTGTAAGTGAAATTCATGCACGAGTGCCGGCGTTGCTTGCCCTGACTTTCTGAAGAAAATCAAGTTGTCCTTCGTTTATTAAATGTTTTAGTCGAGTGAGAATTTGCCGCGTTAACCGGAGCATGTCAGCATGGTTTGAAATCTCTTCGTGCCTTTTCCTGAAATCGGATGTCGATAGCTCATACTTCATGGCAAGTTCTTCGTTGCCGAGTTCTTCATTGCCTGAAGGTTCCTCGTCCGTTGACCGACACTCATCTTTATCAAACATTAGTCTCTGAGTAATGTCGGTCTCGAAACAAAGAGATGCGACGTGGTTAGATCCTCTACGAGCATCTTTCTTGGATTCCGCAAAGCCCACTGAAAACGACTGGTGGAGTCGGATGGGACATAATCTATGCAGCACCATTTTCACGTTCCAGAACTCGAGCTTGCACACGTTCGTGACTGCCCCCTCCGAATTCTCATTGCGTCCTATGACTTGCCAGCGCTTGGTCACTTCCGCTTTAACTCGTCGACACAGAGCTTCCGCCGTTCTTGTCTTCAGCTGGAAACGCTCAAACATGGAACACAGCTCGAATTGCCCCTCCAAGCCACCAAAATCAATTTTGGCGCCGGCGTCCTCAACAACGCAAGCCATCTTACGCGCGGCATTCTCGGCCCAGTTGCCGATAAATGGGGTGATCGCCTCCTCTATATACAACTGTAGCACGGGAGATTTGGCCAAGTACGAGTGCTGGGGACTTATAGAAGCATTCACGTCTGCTACAGCAGCCCGGAGCATTCGCGCACACGCGTGTGCTGCGCTGCATACGGCCAGTAGCGTCAACGGAAGCACAGTTTTTTTGGTGAAGGCGGATATCTCCGTCGCTACACCAGGCTCCATCGCCGACTTGTTCATAACCCCATCAATTCGCTGCATCCCTTGCTCGATTGTCTCCTTGCTAATCGAGTGGTTGAATTGCATTCCAGCCATGACTCGCGAAAGCCACGTCTCAATTGTACTTAAAGAAAGATGGTTGCAGATTTTTGACTCCGCACTGATTCCTCCACACAAATAAAAGTCGCTTGGTCGCATTAGCTCCTTCAACTCGTCAGGACGAGCGTCAACGAACAATCTGTCTGTTGAAACGCAATACTCATTTCCCTTATCCACATAGCAATCCTTATGCCCAGGCATTGACAGCAGTCTAGGAGAAATGTACTGCCTCACCCATGGGATTTTATGCTCGTTCTGCTGAGAGTTTTCTTGGGCGCCTTCCTCATGTGCCACATTGATAACCCAGGCTCTTCCCTGCGGTGCTTGAGAAAGGTCAGCACAATGGGATGCGGTGGGGTCCTGTTTCGACCATTGAATAGATTTCACTCTAACAAGCTGCAAAGTGAACCAACCTCGAGACTGGTTCAGTAGCCACGCCAGTATGCCGGATGATTCGGGTATTTTCTGCGACCTAATATAAAATATAGGTACCACTACCTGAAGGTCTTCCGGGTCTCGCGATCTCTCGCGATGTTTCCGCCACCAGTTCAGTCGACCGGTTATGTTCGTGCTTTTTAGCTCTTTATCCAATTCTCCAGCGCTCTCCACTTCCCGAATGTTACTACCCTCCGGGTCGTTCTCCAAATTAATCTGTTGGTCTCCAACAGTCTGTTGGTCTCCAACAGTCTGTTGGCCTCCAACAGTCTGTTGGTCTCCAGGCTGTTGTTTTTCGGCGTAAAATATGGATACATTCACTGGTGCGGCTGTCTGCTCTTCCTCCTGAACCAATCGTTTCCTCACGACTCCGAGCATCATTAGGAACTCTCCTTCCGCCTCACGACTACTATTATGCCGCGATCGAACAAGCTGACCCGGGCAAAATTCACAACTCCGATGGGGTCGAGGTACTATATCCTGACGAAAATTATCCTCTGTATTATTATCATCGTTATCCACTGGACTTGTAATAGCCTCCCATTCACGATCCCATCGGTAGTCAGCGGCTTCTCTCATATGACCAAGGGCCTTCGTCCAATACCCAGCAGGATAGCTACAATCATAATTATTTCCAAACAATCTGTATGCCAAACGATCTCCTGCGACCAAGTCCTGTTCTAAGGTAGCACCATACTTGGTCAAAAATCTTTCAACAGTCTCATCGGATCTAGGTTGGTACCGGCCGTCTTTAATTTCCGTCGCAGTGCAGGCAATCTCATGAAGATATTCACGCAAGTGCCCACGCAAGCCCTCTTTCTTCTCCAACTCTTTCTGTAGCTCCTTCTTTTCCTTCTCGAGTCGAACGATACTCTCTTCTAAACTTATTGATTCCCTTTCCAGACTTCGAGCTATCAACGCGTTAATCAGCTCCTGCAGATGGTCAATGAACCTATCGTAGTCGAAGAGATCTAGCAAACCTTGGCTCTCGGCGCTTCTTCGCTTACTACCACCCCATGCAGAACTCCCCCTCCCCTTCCCACGATATATGGCACTCAATAATCTGGAAGGGTTCGCCCCATATTCAGAGTTTGCCCCATATTCAACGACTTGGCTCGTCGACAACTGCTTTGTTTCCGTCCTGTTATCATCAACGAAGGACTCTAAACGTCTCTGGCATGCATCATAACCTTTCGTTAAGCAATCGAACATGATCTTAGCTCTCTCGGAGTACGGCTTCTCCCTTTCCCTTTGGTCCAGCTGAAACAGCTCTAGGAGATAAATGGGAATTATTTGACCTTGTAAAGGTTGCACTTGCATAATACGTTCCCACAGTCGGCGTTGCGACTTGTCTTCTAGTGCTTGGTCATCCAAGAACTTCAAGGATTTCGTTCCGACCATAATGGTTTGCTCAGAGTTAAGTCCCAGTTCGCTTATGAAGTCAGTAAACTCGTGGTGCGTGTTACCTGGGTCATTCGTCATACTGGTGACCCAAACATACAGATTGTTGGGGTTATGGGTAATGTAATCCCGAACTATGCGTTTAGTAATTTCCTTGGTCCTTTCATTACTTAATTGAACACCTGGTAAATCGACCACCACCATGTGCACAGAGTTAGGGGCGCTAATTTCGATGTGCAATTCATCGGACACCACCCCCTGTATCGAATCCATTCGCTCTTTCATAAATCTCGGCAGCTCATCCACATCCATCTCACGCGCTGCTTCGGCCATACGGTCCTTTATACGAACACTCACTTGATCATCCGCCGAGGGACTCATCGATATCTCAATCGGCTGTTTGGTAGCCATCTGGCTGGAACAAAATCCCATAGGCGCCCCCAGTATTGAATCCAGCAATGTAGTCTTCCCCATCGACTGCTGGCCGAATGCCACTATACGAGGCATTTCGCGCGAACGACCAATTGATGACAACACATGCGATGCTATTTGATACACCTCATTCGCTGATAAAGATTTCTTCGCACACTCCGCACGCTCTCGAACCCAAACCACATCGTCTGCGGTAAACACGCGCTCTGTGTGCGACACAGACATTCGCTATGAAGCCCCGAAAAAATTCTTTCGCACCCCACGAGAACATTTACCCTAAACACCATACAAAAACACACCCACGCCGAATACACCCTTCGGAGAACACCCGTCCAAAGAACACCCCCCAAAATTCCCACTCGCACCGACCCGCTAACACTCTGACCCTTACGTCGCGGTACTATGCACCACATCGCATCAAATGTCTGTGCTTGCCCCACCACCGTACCAAATGGCAAGGGGTTTATCTTGAATGGACCCTGCCCTTGGTCAAGTGCAAGTATCTCCCCAAGCACGTTGCCGCACGACGGTATTCGCACGACGGTATTCGCACAGGCAAAAGAAGATCTGGTGGTCGCAGGCGGACGTGCGCGCCGATAGAATTTTGCATAACAAGGGCAGCTACCGAACCAGGACAAGAGGTTCTCACCAGTACCCAGTTCTCAGAACCAGGAATAAATAAACTCGAATAAATAAACTTGAATAAAAGGGAAAAAATTTTTTCTTGATGAGAGGCACACCGGTGGGCGAGAGTGGCGTTGAATGGGCGGTCGCTTTGTTGGGCGTGAAGGTGATTTGTCCGTTCTGGGACGATGTATCTGATGACGAGACGCTCCAGTTGATGCGATTGAGCCATTTGTACGCGCTTGATGACTGTCTCCATCGTGATCTCAGCCGATTGGGGAAAATGGCCACGGTCTCGGTGACGGTGCAGTCTCTCCGCGAGAGTGGAGTAAAATGTGCCCTGGGTGAGAGGGTGCTGGCCAAACGCTTCAACCGCTTGACTCCGGTCAGGGCTGAGCGTCTCCAATCGCGGATCATGGCCGGCCATGTGCCCTCCATCGACACATCCGAGATCTCCCCTGACTCCCTCGACCGCATGGTCCACTATCAAATGCATGAGAAGCTACGCTTCACCGATAATGTCCTTGACTATGAATTCACCAAGGACGCTAAACACCTGGCCGCTATGACCCAGGACTCCGGACGGTTGGAGGATGAAATTTTCGTCGCTCTCCAGATGAGAACTGCGACCCATTCAAAACCGGAGGTGACTCGAATGCCAGTGGCGACTTCAAGACCAGTGGCGACTTCCGGACCGATTCAGCCGCCAAACCAACACCTGTGGAAACCAGAGCGGATGACCCCAGCGGACGAAGCCGTCGGCCGTTTTTGGGGCGCATGGTTACAGATGGGCCTGACGTCGAATAAATCGAAGAGGACCGTTTGGGGAGTGCCCTCCGGCTCGCACTGGGTCCTAGAGTAATTTTTACGGAGAATCGAGGGGTGGTTGGCACCTCACAAGTACTTAAATAGAATCATCTCTTCCTTCGTGACCCTTCCCTCTCCGTAACCCTTTTGATCTCGACAGACTCGGGGTTGGCGGTTTCGGGAAACCGAACTACCGTGTAGTCCGCACTATCCCGTTTTCGTGGTACCGCCCGCGTATTTGTGGTACCACCAGTACTAGAGGCATCGTCCCATATTCACGGTCTCTCCTTTATCACTCGCACATCATTGCCAGATACCCGGTCCGGCTGAAAATGCCTTTCTCAGCGTGAGAGGATGCCTGTCCACCCAGAATATGTTTACAACGAATGCCCACGTCGCACCGACCCGCTAACTCTGACCTTTATGTCGCGGTACTATACATCGCGTCAAAAGGATCTTACTCTTGTGTCCATGCTTGCCTCGTTATGGTAGTCAGCGAATGGTAGTTATCGTAGTAGCGTGCCCATTGTATTTGGGAGCATCGACGTCTCCAAATTCGGGGGAATAATTATTTCTGATTCTCCGCTATATTCCTAACTCTCCGCTATATTGGCTGTTAGATGAGAAGCGCACCACCCATTAAGAATGGCACTTTCTCCGCTGAATCGGCGATTGCTCTGCTGGGTGTGAAGGTAATTTGTCCATTCTGGGATGATCTGTCTGATGACGAGACGCTCCAATTGCTGCGATTGAGCCATTTGTACGCGCTTACTCGGTTTCGTCATAATTGGAAGGCCTCCCGAAAACTGGCCACCATCTCGGTGAGGGTGCAATCTCTTCGCAAGAGTGGAATAGAATGTGCTCTGAATGAGTCTGCCCTGAGTGCCCTGCTGGCCAGACGCCACAACTGCCAAAGGCCAGTCTCGGGTAACCGTGTCCTATCGCTGATCATGGCCGGCAATGTGCCCTCCATTGATACATTGGAGATCGACCCTGACTCCTTGGACCGCATGGTTCACTATCGATGGTATAGGAAGCTGCGCTTCACTGACAAAGTCATAGACTACGAATTGACCCAGGACGCTGAAGCCCTGGCCGCTAAAACCCGGGACGTTGAACACGATGACGTTTTCATCGCTCTGCAGATGAGAACTGCGACCCGTTCAAAACCGGAGGTGACTCGAATACCAGTGGCGACTTCAAGACCAGTGACGACTTCAAGACCGATTCAGCCGCCAAACCAACACCTGTCGAAAGCAGAGCCGACGACCCCAGCGGACGAAGCCGTCGGCCGTTTTTGGGGCGCATGGCTACAGATGGGCCTGACGTCGAGTAAATCGAAGAGATCCGTTTGGGAAGTGCCCTCCGGCTCGCACTGGGTCCTAGAGTAGTTTTTACGGAGAACCAAGGGGTGGTTGACAACCTCACAAGCACTTAAATAGAATCATCTCATGAGATCATCTCTTGCTTCGTAACTCTTCGTAACCCTTTTGATCTCGACAGACTCCGGACCTCGGCGGTTTCGAGAAACCGAACTGCCATGTAGTCCGCACTATCCCGTATTCGTGGTACAAGCGAGATTACGCGCGGCCATCCAGCCCTGACATGCAACCCTGCACCGATGTCATTTACTATTCCGACGCACCTGTGACAACTCTGACGACCCGCTAACTCTGACCTTTATGTCGCGCGCGGTACTATACATCACATCGCGTCAAAAAGATCCTACTCGGATGTCTATGGTTGCCTCGTTATGGTCTGTGCTTGCCCCATTACGGTACCAAATGACAAGGGGTTTGTTTTGAATGGACCCTGCCCTTGGTCAAGTGCAAATATCTCCCCAAGCACGTTGCCGCACGACGGACGGTACGAGGGCAGCTACCGAGTCAGGGCAATAGGAGTGGCACCACAGGCTGTTCCGTCCAACAGTCCTGTGATTCTAAGACTCGGATAATATTCTTTAACCTTTTATAGCAGTTAAGGTGGTAGCGAATAGTTGTTGAATCGTCTTCCATTTGGTATTGTAAGGTGAGTAGGGCCTGTTAGTTGGTATCCGAGTAGTGATGTGCAGTTGAGTTCTCTTTGTCAGCGAATGGTAGTTATCGTAGCAGCGTGTACGGTGGAAGTATTTGGGAGCATCGACGGCTCCCAATTCGGGGAATAATTATTTCTGATTCTCCGCTGCCTTGGCTGCTAGATGAGAAGCACACCGTCCATTAAGAATGGCACTTTCTGCGCTGAATGGGCGATTGCTCTGCTGGGTGTGAAGGTAATTTGTCCATTCTGGGATGATGTGTCTGATGACGAGACGCTTCAATTGGTGCGACTGAGCCATTTGTACGCGCTTGCTGGTTTTAGTCGTGATTGGAAGTCCTCCCGAAAACTGGCCACCATCTCGGTGACGGTGCAGTCTCTTCGCAAGAATGGAATAGAATGTGCTCTGAGTGAGTCTGCCCTGAGTGCCCTGCTGGCCAGACGTCGCAACTGCTTAACGCCGACTCCTGGGTGTAAGCGTGTCCTGTCGCTGATCAGGGCCGGCGATGTGCCCTTCATAGACACACGGCAGGTCGCCCCTGACTCCTTGGACCGGATGCTTCACTATCGATTGTACAGGAAGCTGCGCTTCACTGACAAAGTCATTGACTATGAATTCACCCAGGACGCTAAAGCCCTGGCCGCTAAAACCCGGGACGCTGAACATGATGACGTTTTCGTCGCTCTCAAGATGAGGGCTGCGACTTATTCAAAACCGGAGAGGACTCGAATACCAGTGGCGACTTCAAGACCAGTGCCAGTCAAGACCAGTGTGGGGGCATTCCCCCCCACACTTGATGTCAGTCTTTCATGGGAGATTAGTCCCGTGCGGTGTCCCGCTTGTAAACATGCCGCCGAACCTATCAGCGATTCAGTCGCTAAACAAGCACCTGTCAAAAGGCCATTCAAGTGCGATCTTTCGCCGTACTACCTGGTCCCGTTCGACCTCCATGATGAAGAGGTGGCTGTCCCGGAGCCGCTTGTGTTCCAGCTGTTAGGCAAAGACGTTGCGGAGGTGGTAGTCTCGGATGTAGAGTCAACGAGCCCAGAGCTCACAACGCCCGCGGCTGCAGAGTGTATGTCCCCTGTGGCCATGAACCCAAGGATATTAGGAGCCTTGGACGAAGCCATCGGTCGTTGCTGGGGCGCACAGTTGCTAAGAGGCCGGGCGTCCGAAGACCAAAAAAATCTCATTTGGGAGTGGCCTTCCGACCCGCGCTGGGCACAAGCCAGGTAGAGTAATTTTCACGAGAAACCGCGAGGTGGTAGATGTCATTACGGAATGAAATTTGTATTACCTTGTGCTTAGTATGTTACCAATCGGTCTGCCTGTGGTATCGTACGAACCCGAAAGCCCCCCTAGTCCTACCCAGACCCACGGAGTCCGCTCTCTTTTCGGCGTAACTGGTTTCCTACACTCCTTTGTTCCGAATTACTCACAAGTTACTACACCTTTAACAGACCTCCTGAAGGGTACACCCAACAAGAAGAAACAAGAAGTAGCTATTGATTGGACACCCCAACACCAGAATGTCAAATTCTATATCTTCGTAATCTAACATTCGATCTTCCCGATGCACTAGGCCTCGCCCTTTTCAGCTACCATTCATTCGTCCAATGGACACTCTCCCGCATATCTGACTCACGGTCGCGACCCTGTCTTACCTTATGCTCAAGACTACCGACTCCTAGGCAAGAATCCGTCAAACCGTCTCGTTGCCTCAAATGAAATACGACTTGCAATACTCAACAACTTAACAGCTCTGTACGACTATGTTCTAGTAGCACTGAATCCTAAGGAAGTCTACCGAAATGCTGTCACGACGGATAGCTCTGAGAAGATCGTTTCAAAATGGTCCTCACCGCATCGTGTCACCCGTGTGTCTCCCAACGGCTTTCGGATTACCGCACATACTCTCCTCGACTGGAGTTCTAAAGAAGTTACTCGCGACCAAGGAAAGAAAATTAAACCACCCAGCGATCAAGATCATTTGGAGGAATGGATAATCGTCTCCGACATAACTCGAGAGCCCGCAAGCAAACTCAAACGCTTTGTGCAACGGTTACCTCAGGCAAGGTTGTTCGTGCAGCCTTCACCTGATCTGGGCGGAGAAGCTGGTGAGGAAAAGCGGTAGAAATCGAATGAAGTCCGAACACGACCCCCCGAGCGTCTGCCGACCGACCCCCCGAGCGTCTGCCGACCGACTCTCCGAGCGTCTGCCGACCGACCCCCCGAGCGTCTGCCGACCGACCCCCCGAGCGTCCGAGAATAAAAGAGCGTTTTGAAGTAACTAGAAATTCTATTATTATTATCTCTTCTTAACATTTTGAAGTCCAACTTTCCTTCTTTGATCAGCGTTTGTAGTCGGGAAAGAATGAACTTGGATCTCGGAACATTCATTTGGATCTGATGGTGTACTTCATCAAACTTCTCCGCGGTATCGGATGTCAGGCCATAGCGGTCCCTTAGTTGCTTGCCGTTCAGTTTTTTGTTTTCCCCTACCCCAGGGCGCACGATCTTCTGTTCAACGACCGTTTTGAAGCATAGCATTCCATCCCTTCTCTGCCCGCGAGCGTTGAGAACAAACGGAGGAGAAAATGACTCATGGAGCTGAGCCACCCAGCGCCACCTTTGTGTCCCAGAATAAGAGCTTGCAAAGGTCCAGCGGCCTTTAACACACCCGAACGAGCGTGCGCGGCACCACACACGGCTAACAGGGGCAAGGCTTCCCCCAACAGCACCTGTTGCGTTTTGCATAATTGACTCCCGATCAATCGAATCGTTGAACTGAATACCAGCCATGACCCGGTGAAGCCACGTCTTAATGCTCTTTACTGAAATGTGGTTACAGACGCTCGATTCAGCCGCATTTCCTCCACACAAGTAGAAGTCGCTTGGTCGCATCAACCCCTCGACATTCTGTGCTCCGTCTCGTCCTCGGTCTGCGCAGAAATTTCCTTGTCACCTTCCTCACACGTCACATCCGTCACCCACGCTGTCCCTTGTGGCGCCTCAGAGAGGTCCGAACAATTCCAAACTTCCGGCTCATACTTGGTCGACCAACTAATAGATCTTACTCTAACAAGCTGCAGTACATTGAACCAGCCGGGCAACTCGGTCAGAAGCCACGCCAGGATTCCGCCCGATTCCGGGATCGCCAACGACCTGATATAAAATATCGGCATCACAACTTGGATTTCCCCCGCAACTCGGCGTGTCTGTCCAATCTATTTCTGCCACCAGCGCTGCCGACCGGGTGTATTTGCCCACCCGAATGTTTCTGGCCTGATCTCCTCTCCCTGTAGGGCAAAGCCCTACACTTGGAGCCGTTGTCTTCTTGGAGCTGTTTTTCGACGTCTGCGCTCTCCAAGTTGGCGCCCTCATGTGGCTGGATAACTGCAATCCTGACATACTTATGTTCCTTGGTAAGAGTAGGACCATCTACAACCATCTTAGGATCAACCCCGTCCTCCTCCACCTTCTCAAGTTGTTCTTCCACGACCGTGCCGAGAGTCATGGCTTCTCCGACGATGTTCATCCGAACCAGCTGCCTTTCTGACATCGTGCAACCAGGATGCGGTAGAGGCTGTACCTGCTGCCGTACAAAAAACTTGACGCCCTCTGTGTCGCGATTTTTTGCACATACAATGGTCTTCCATTCCCGGTCCCATCGGTAGTCAACGGCTTCCTTCATGTGGTCGAGGGCCTCCGTCCAGAAATCAGCAGGATAGCTGAATTCATAATTATCCCCGAACAACCTGTGTGCCAAACGATTCCCTGTGACCCCTCTTCGTTTCCAGTAGTGTTTTGTGTTTAATCCCGAACTATGCGTTTAGTAATTTCCTTGGTCCTTTCATTACTTAATTGAACACCTGGTAAATCGACCACCGCCATATGGACACAGTTAGGGGCTCTAATTTCCACGTGCAACTCATCTGCCACTACCCCCTGTATCGAGTCCATACGCTCCTTCATGAACTTCAGCAGCTCGTCAATATCCAAATCGCGAGTGGGTCTCTCGGTCACATGATCCTTCACTCCTCGAACACTCACCTTGCCGTCTGCGGAAGGACTCATCGAGATCTCAATGGGCTGTTTTGTTGCCATTTGACTTGAGCAAAACCCCAAGGGTGCCCCCAGTATCGGTCAGCAGTCGATGGGAACCCAATAATGTAGTCTTCCCCATCAACTGCTGACCGAGTACCACGGTACGCGGCATCTCGCTCGAGCGACCGATTGCTGACAGCACATACGAGGCTATCTGGTAGACTTCATTCGCTGACTAGGCGTTGAAGCAGACTTGGTTAGGTGAGGAAGCCATGAACTATATTTATGATTATTTGTACCACGATTTTTCGACAATCACCCAACCAAGAGAACCTCGCACAGGCTGTTAGCATCTGTTCCGTTCTGGCCCAGGTGCATGCGAAACCCTAGAGTGGCTGGCTGGCTGGGTCACAACCTTGACCAGAATTCTTTCGTACTCTATGATGGGGCTGACAAGCGCAGCTACCGTCGTGCAGCTCTCAGGTGGAAGAAGTCTGATTGCTGTTGTAACGACACTTTTTAGCACCCCAGGACTTGCGACTGTTTCTCTCACTGAGGTTTCTCTCGCCGAGGTTTCTCTCGCCGAGGTTTCTCTCGCCCGATGTGTGTGTGATATAAATCCATTACCGGAAATGTTTTTCACCTCAACCAGCCAACTCACGAACCTGAATGAAAGCGCATTACCCAACAGCGCACCACCAAAAATATACCTCCGCTATCTCTCCCAATCTTATGACACAGCAAAAGGGTTTGCTGATCCACAGAACCTCACTGGCTGGCAGCCTAGGCTACACCCCCTGCCACGAAAGCCAACTCCAGGGTGCATGATTTTCTTTCTTTTCAATGACCGCACAACATTTCCGCCCCTTCTGTGTCCGCAAACATTCAAAACAAACCCAGGAGCGAATGACTCATGAAGCAGGGACCCGCCAGCGCCAGCCTTCTGTAGATGACCATCATGATCGGCACCATGCGATGTGGAGCACCTGCCTTGGATGTGGGGACGTATTCAAATAGGGACGGATTCATTCCAATTGACAGGGGAATGACGGAATGCAACGCGGTAGCGAATGACGGAATGCAACGCGGTGGCGCATTTTATTCTTCGATCATCCTCCAGGTTCTGCGGCATCTCCTACATATACTCGCCACTGGGAAGTTATCTTCCAACTCAGGCTCCGTTTTATGATTCAACCCCATGTCCGGTATGGACGCAACCACCCGCGACAGAAAATAGACCTTCCCCAAGATCTCTTCCCCAAGATCTCCGCTACGTCGAGACCCTGTTCTGACGTACACCCAAAGCGCCCCGAGTGACCCCCGAGTGAATTACGGGTGGGAGTGACTCGAAGGCGCAAAATAAAAATTCGCCCCTTATGGGCCACCCACATCCGGCTATACTGATCACTGAGGGCCGACTCATCTGAGACATCGGGTCTAGCGACGTCGGGTCTAGCGATGTCGGGTCTAGCGATGTCGGGTCTAGCGATGTCGGGTGCACACGCGTGTGTCTCGCTCCGCGATCCGGTTGGGTCACGAATCTTACAGAATTTCTCGGAGTCAATGGCGTTTTCGACATCCATTATCGGCATTTTCCAGGGTTGAAATTTTGATTAATTTTATTATTAATTATGAGGACTTGTAGGACATCTATACGCGGCGTCGTCCACAAGGATCTGGTTTGGTTGATGGCTGTTAGCCTGTTTGACGATGTTCGTTGCCCAAGTCTTTACGAGCATGAGACGCCGACATCTTTTTCGATCCAAGACATCTGCGCTGCGTTAACCGGTCGTCACGAGGGAGTGGATGTGGAGGGGCTTCGAAAAGAGCTGATACGGTGGAACGCGGTTGTGAAGCGCTTGCGGCCGATGGAGATCGACGATGTAGAGGTAATGGGTCGCTTGAAGGTTCTGGACATCATGTATCAGGCATATCAGTCAGAGAAGCAGGCTGCCCAAAACACTATTCGACAGCACGCAAGTCAGAAAGCAGCCCAGCCCGGTGGTGGGGACCGTACTGATTATGGACGCATGACTGAGTTAGCTTCGGAAATACGAGAGTTGCTTGACAAAGAGGACTTTCAAGCTGATGCATCATTGGCGGCAAAAGCCAGTGAGCTTATCGCCTCTTGTAAATCGAGCATTCAGCCTAAGCCATTGGATGTCTGGGCCACCCAGCATACAGCGGACAACGGAGAGAGCAGTCACGAGGTCGTAGCAAACAGAGAGTTGTTGGTGGCGCAGGTTAATCACGTTAACGCGACCAATCAAATGATTGCCATCAGAGACAATGCGCGCAGACTTGTCTTGCAAAATGCCTCACGAATGAACACTGTGCTGCCATCCGATCGTAGACAAATTTGCGGTCTGCTAGATCTTAAAGATCCCGTCCAGGGCCTGCCGCCACAAGTCGAATATCTAATCGAGAACGGGAAGACTATCGAGGCCTTCGTAGTTTCTGAAAACAGGCGTAATGCCAACAAGAAATTGGCGTAACTGGCATAATCAACCTCCTCACAAGAGGTGTTCAACCTCACAAGAACGTGTTCAATCAACCCCCTCGGAACATCACTTATATAGATAAAGTGTCGAATATTTTGACATCAACAACCAACTCCACAACTTTTGTGTTTATGGAGATAACTTTTGTGTGTTTATGGAAATGCCAAAAGGATCGGTGTGCCCTCTTCGTGCATCAAGGCAAATATTTCTTTTTTTGAAGTCCAAATACTTCTCACTTTGGAGTTGGTTGTTCTGTCAAAGACCTCTCACGACATGCCCATCACCTCCTTGAACTTGGTGACCGCGAGGTGGCAAAAAGGACAAGCGCCTGCTTCCTGGTCGGACCTCATCTTCCAGTTCAATGACTGACCGAAACCGCAAAGGAATCCAATTTCTTTAGGCACCATGAATCCTCAACTCATTTTCAGTTACAATGTACTCACCCAACAGGAACTCCTGAACATTCTGCCTCTGGTCACCTTGCAGTTGAAGAATTGGACCGAGCTCAGAATCAACAACGACCGTACCGTTACAGTTGAATCTCTTTTGCATAGCGCGTACGATTTTCTTAGCATCAAATCTGGGGTCCAAACCCTGAACGGTGGTCAAAGATTTGCGACCATTACGCTGTTGAACACGGATATCTGAAGAACAGTCACTAAAATACAGGCCCCCACACGAGAAACCATATCGGCAACGAGTCGGCAGCGTGTGTTGCCGTCAGCATGTGGTGGGTGGCGTAAATCCCCCCAACTGACATCAAACTGAGCTGGTGAAGCCTCTCCGAGATGAGACACGAAGCTGTACTTACGGACAATGTATTGAGAAGCAACTTCGCCGTTGTTTCTTGACTCTTCCATGAGTAAAAATTAAAAAAGCGCCATGAGCACACGCGTGTGCAGATGGTCACTACTCGGCGACATCACCTGAGGAACGCAGCGAAACACCAGCCAGATGAGGTAGACTTGCCAAGCTCGTCCAGAAGGGGCCGGCGACTGCCGATTCGCAAAGATCCACCACCTCTCATGTCGGCATCGCCAGTAGTCGCGACGGCGGCTGAAGCCGAGGTCGTGGCGGCGGAAGCTGTGAAGAAGCCTTGGAACAAATGGAATGAGTCTCCGATAACAATTTTTGAGAGACTGACAAACCTGGAGGATGTGAGAATAAGATCACACGTCCGGAGCACTTGTCCGTCAGCACCACCTGACGAATTATGTTCACCCAAAAGCATCGAATTTATTCGGTATTTGTGGCGTTCTGTTTTCGATGAAAATTTAGTCCTAGGTCATAAAAAACACGGGGAATCGTTGGACGATATAAACGATGCAGAAAAAAAAGGTCACGACCTCGCAGTGTCCTCGCCTCCAGCACTAGATGAAACCGCTGATGAAGAATTGGGGATGGATCGGTGCTTGGAGGACGTGTTGGAAATGGGCTCGTTGGAACTGGTCCAGCAGTTCGCCGAGGCGATTGAACGCCAGTCACTGGCTCTTCGAAATGTGCTTGCCAAGTTTTGGATCCTGAAAGGCGGCAGCCCTGCAGACGTGCCTCCTTCGCCGACGCCGACGCCGCCGACACTGGGAGCACCACAAGTCGGTATTACGGCCAGTGACGAACAGGTTGTGTACCTTACGCTCCAGTTCCACTACCTTCTGAAGAAGTATTCCACTGTCCGAAAAATACCGACTGGAACTGTATTCCTTTGGGACGGAACAGATTTGGACGAATCTGTGGACTCGTCCACCATACTTTTTTCTGCTTTTGCCAAAACTTGAAGGAGTAATTAGCTAGTTAGAACAATACTCTGCCTGGAGCAATACTCTACCCACCCGACCCCGCCCTTCAAAGTGTTACTCAAGTCGGCGACAGGCTCACGAAGGAGTTGTGGTGCCTCAGAGCGGTTACAGTGCCCGTGGGAATTGAGTTTCTGAACAGCGCAATTTCGTGTGCATACCGGAATCGAACACGCTAAGGGTGTAAATGGATGAGAGCTGGCTAGTCCTTGCGTGTGCTTGCTTGTGGGTGCTAACAATAGCGCGTCTGGCAGTTCCGCCTGGGCCGTCTTTTACGTCTGCATGGCTATTTACGGGCTTGCAGGGGTATTTGCTTAAGAGCGATGACGTCATGCAGCTCTTTTACGTCAGCGGTGTAGGGCTTATGTTGGGCTGGTATGGAGTTCAGCTCCTAGATCAGTCCGCTTGGCAGAAAATACTGAATATATGGATCCCGAAGTTTCCCTGGGCGTAAGTTGTTCTCTCTTGCCCCGCGTCTTGTCCGCATCCCTTCCTAGCCCTACATCTCAATCTTGCCCTGCTCCTTACGTGTATCTTGTTTAGTCCGCGTACCCCATTGTCCATTGGCGTCCGAATCGGCGATTTGTATTTACACGCGCTTCCTTTCTATTGGGCGCTGAACTTTTGTGAAGGAGTGAGAGCCAAGCATTTGTTACAGGCGATGATCTTTGACCGACTCTACTTTTTGGCAATCGACGGCATGTTTATTGGAGATGGCCGAGCCGTGAACCGGGTCTATAGAATCGTCCCCAGGGCCCCTCCCCGATTCTTCTGGACACTGCAGACGTTATCGTTAATGGGCCACTTGTGCGCCTACCTTACCAGCGCCGAAAAGAGCGAACCGGCGTACTATCCCCGGTCGTCTTCTGCCATTGCTCAAGAGGTTGTCAGCTTACTAGAGTCGAAGATCCCGCCATTTGTCTCTAACTGGTTCACCAGCTCGTTCCCAAGCCAGTGGTATGCGTCATGGGAAAATACGCCGTGGGAGACCCGACCTGCGATTGATGCTGACGCAGCTGTGCCCACCAGCCATGTGTTGTACGGCGCTCTCATCTTGGTGGCAACCATCAAGGCTCACACCGTCGAATTCTACCAACGCTACTCCCTCCCGGCACGGTGTGCAATTGCTACGCGGTACAAGAGGTTCTCGCCTCTGGTGTTAAGGTCAAGATAAGAAAAAGCATCGCAGCGGACGGCGACATCTTTCCATTCAATTCGCGCATGAACGCGGCAAACGGATACAAACACGCGGCACACGGATACAAACACGCGGCAGAGGCCGAGCTGGACCGATCTCCGGACCGAAAGGCGCGCGCACGTGTGTGCAGGGGGGGGAGTGCTCCAAACGACATGGTAGAACCGATCGCTAAATGTACTGTTCCGAATTAATTGTTGCTACTTCGTCCCGCAAGTCGCTGTTGAGGGTTTCTGCAGGGGCCATGGAGACGGCGGTGGTTGTGGGACGCGCCATATTTTGGAGGGGTTTCCGGCAGTGGGTCAAAGTCCAGCCTGCGATGAAGATTGCGATAAGAGCAAGGACGGTGAGACTCCGGAACCAGAATGTTGGGTGAGAATTCAACCGCGACGGAATAATCCAAGCAGGGGAGGAGAGACGCTTCGGTCCGCTGCGCCAACCAGCTGGCACGGGGTAACTGGTGGTCAAAACCTCGATAACGGCGTCGGTAGCCGGTTTTTCTTGTTCCCAAGCCGTCGCTCTCTCCTCCCAACCACCGTTGTCCCAACGATGTGTGTCCTTTCGCACACCATTTCGCACACCATCGGGCTCCTGTGTGTTTTGTGTTGCGGGCTGCACAGAACAAGCGATTTCGTCCAGCTTGCTTAATATACTGGGCAAGCTCGAGGCCACGTAGAAATGTTCAAATCCAATTCGTTCATAGGTCCACGACCACCACGGGACGTACTCCGGAACCGTATATGTTAAGGCAACTGGAGCAAGGGCCGAGAGGTGTGTTAAGTTCGGGGTAGGTCGCTTCTTAGTTGGTGGCTTTTGAGGTGTGGAAGCGGCTTGGTTGGAAGCGGCTTGGTTGGAAGCGGCTTGGTTGGAAGCGAATTTCTGTGTAGCTAATTTTTGTAACTCCGAAATCGGGACGTATGAATAACCAAGTTCACAGGTCAATTCCCCGTCCCATTGCGGGAAAGGTAATGCCCCTTGGTTCGGCAAGGTGTGGTCCTCAGCGTAGTGGGCTTTATTATCGGTAACGGTAACAACAATTAGCAGTCCCAGACGACTTTTGTCCGATCTCATGTCGTCGTTAATTTTGACACGAGATTTCAGAACACTGTACAAGCTGCCTAAGCTGTCTTCAGCGGGATCAAATATGCCTCCTGGAATTGGTGAGAAAGATGCGACCGCGTCTTCAATTCTTGACAAGATATTGTCTCCCAGCATATTGTCTTCCGCCAAGCTTGGATCACCACCACCCACAGGTATTCTCGCCCGCCCATTGTTGTTTCCCACAGGTATTCTATTCGATATAGTAATCGGAGGTATGATCGGCATATGACATGTTTGATTAAACATATCGTAAGCCCATTTTCCTGGGTCCACACGATCACCGAAGAAATTAAATCCAAAAGTGATAGCACCCGTTTCAGACAATTCCTCGGTCTTTGCAATCAATGGTGTCACCAAACGGCCGACACGGGATAAGGCCTCACGGTGAGAATCTGTTCCGTCATAATTGATAATAAGTTCAACCTCTGCAACACCGCATCCAGTTTTCATGTCCCAAACGCTGCCTTCATGAGACCACCACTACCGAACGGATGGGGACGGTTTTAACGGACCATCGGACGGGGACGGACCATCGAGAGATGGCGACCATCGAGAGATGGCGACCATCTCCTTTCCTTCCTTCCTGAAACGCGTTTTCAAGCCCCTTGTTTCTCACAAGGCGTGCAACGCACCATACCTCCAAGTCTCGTGAGTGAGGATTTCCTTTGAAAGCATTTAAAAAAATGATGGTTGAGCGCACGTGGATAGAGACCCTTGCTCGCAAGGTTGGTGATGTCATTAGAGAAGATGGCACAAGAGCCAAGCATGTAAGACTGACCTCTGTGTATGTTGCCCGGTTTGTTTCGCTACGTGCAAAACGTATGCGGGTGGAATATCTGCTCGTGTGCCACACATGTGCGTGCTTTGTAGGTGAGTGAAAAGATGTCAATCTCTGACCTTGTAACCGAGAGCGATGTGAAGGTTGAGAAAATGATTCGGTCAGCCATTAGCACGGCGTTCCCTGACCACAAGTTTTTCGGTGAGGAGACGACTCATGAGGAGTTGACGGATGACCCAACCTGGGTTGTGGATCCTATAGATGGCACCTCAAATTTTGTGCACACGTTCCCTCTGCATAGCGTTTCTATTGCTTATTGCGAGAGGAAAGTCCCGGTCATTGGAGTCATCTATGTGCCATGCCGGGACGAAATGTTTTCAGCTGAACGAGGGAAAGGCTCCTTCTTGAACGGAAAGCAGATCAGTGTTACCAAGCGTCAAGTACTACAGGAATGTATTGTTTCTACAGGCTTCCATGTCGGATTTCTGAAGAAGCTGCGTACTCTTAAACAAACCAAAGGTGAAAATGACGAAACTGTTAAGCGCCTAAGTCAACTAAGAAACGTGATATACCAAAATACCGAATGGCTCTTAGAGAACGCCCAAGACATCCGGAGAACTGGCGCCTGCTCTGTCGACATGTGTTATGTCGCATGCGGCAGGCTGGATGCGTTCGCTGAAATAGGACCTCATGAATGGGACTTCGCGGCCGGGAAAATCATTGTCGAAGAAGCTGGCGGATTCATTAAAGGTTTCGGGAGGGATTTTGATCTTGGCAATAGGGAAGTTATTGTCGCCAACACTAATGAGATAGCAGAGCTTCTTAGCAGCAACTTGCTGCCGAGTCCGCTTGATATCTCGGAATTTTAGGGCTAAAGATGTTGACAAACACACGTGTGTGCATAATGCAGAGAGCGGGGCAATTTATATTCCAATGCCAGAGAAGGCTGATACTTGGCAGGCGCAAGAGGCTCTCGAGGCAGAAGAGAAGGCCAAGTACTCAGAATACACGTATGCGCCCGTAAAATTGAAGCTGGGGAAGGAGATGCGGACGAGTGTAGAGTGGTCCACTCTCGGGTTATGTAAGCCTCTCTTGCGCGCATTGCGGGACATGGAGTATGCGCACCCAACACCCGTGCAAAAGGACGCTATTCCGTTGGCGCTGGCGGGCAAGGACGTGTTGGGAATGGCGCAGACGGGAAGTGGAAAGACAGGCGCGTTTCTTTTGCCGTGTATTGAGAGGCTGAGTCGCTCAAACTTGATTCGCGGTCGACGGCTGCTTGCGGATGGCCGCATCGTAGGCAACAAGCACAGCATGACCAAGGTCCTGGTAATGCTTCCAACGCGAGAGTTGGCTGCTCAGTGCCATGGTGTATGTCGACAGTTTTGTAAATACCTACCCGTAACCTCTTGCCTGCTTTGCGGCGGCGCCAGTGTGGATGGTCAGGAGTGGCAGATGCGCAGTTGCCCGGACATAGTTGTAGCTACTCCGGGCCGGTGTCTGGACCTGCTGCTTAATAGCGCAGGAGTGCACTTGGATTTGCTGGACATTGTTGTATTCGACGAGGCCGATAAGCTCATTGACCTGGGGTTCAAGCATGTCTGTCTCGAAATCATGAAGCGACTTAACAAGAACCACCAAACCTTGCTCTTCAGCGCCACACTCAACAGTCAGGCAGAAGAACTCAGTACTATGGGCCAGACCAACCCCGTCCGAGTACCCAAGAACATGACCAGCTTGCGGGCTACTCAGGCGGCCAGAATTAGAAACGAGTTCTACTCCTTCTCCATGACTACCGGGAATGCTGCCGCTGGTCGACCTATGGCGATCACGGAGGACATCACCACCGGCGAAGACGCCACCGGCGAAGACGCCACCGGCGACGTGGCGATGGAGACCGCTACCACCACTGCTATGCCAAAGACCAAGGGCGTGATTGACCTGGATGACTTGGAGGAGTCTCCCAAGTCGAAGGTCAGCGCTCAGAAGAGGGTTAAGTCTGGTGCGTTGAAGGCTGGTGTGTTGAAGACAGGTGTGTTGAAGACAGGTGTGTTGAGGTCCAAGTCAGATGCGAAGGGTGCAGGCAATCCGGCTGGTGTGAATGCGTGGCTGGTGCGACTAAGTTTGTTAGCGAAGGTCCTCGATGAAGAGGTGAATGTGAAGGGGCTTCGTCGAATACTGGTTTTTTTCAATAGCAAGGTGAATGCTCGGAAGGCGTCGGTGATGATGAAAGAGCTGTCTTGTATGCCTGCGTTCAACGAGATGCATTCGGATTTGGAACATTGGGAACGTGTCCGGACGTTGAAGCAGTTCCAGGACGGTGAGATTACCGTGTTGTTCTGCACAGACTTGCTTGCAAGAGGTATCGACTTGGACAATTTGGAGTTGGTAATTAACGCGGAGACGCCTGAGACCGACGTGAAGTATCTGCATCGCATCGGACGAACGGGTCGAGGTGGTAGCAAGGGCCGCGCCATAACTATATACGACCATGAGAGAGAGCGATCTGCACTTAAAGCGATATTCAAAAGTGTAAAATGCAAGACTGCCGAAAAATTCACCAAGGTGGAACACCACAACTTAACGACTCTAGAATCCTATATATCGCTCCTTATAAAGAAGCGGCCCGCTGTCCAGAAACAACTCAAGCTGGATAAACTTCAGAAAGAGATGAAAGTCTTAGAGGCCAAAACCAAGAAAGCAGCACATCAACTAGATCTCGATGTTCAAAATAACAAAGACGTTCGAAACGCTGATGTTAAAAGGAAACGTGTGTGGATTCATGAAGAAAAAATCAACACGCTTAAAAAGATACGGAGCAAGGTCCAGAATGTGCGACCCATTACGGAGACTACCAAAAAACTGAAATCGAAACCCGGCAGAGCTATTATTAAACCAAGCAAAACGATTAAGAAGGGAGGGAAACAAAGAAGATCTTAACTACCAATTAGATGGTCATAACTTATATTTCACATTCAACTTACATCTCTTTCACATCCTTGTATTGTTGCGCCGGTTTAATTCCCACTACTGTGCAGGCCACTTGCGGCGAAGACTACCCAAGGCGGTCTGCCCAAATCATTTATTTTTTCCTGCAATGTGCGACGAACTTAGACGTCTTAAACGGCTCCAGCACATGAATGTACTGGACTGTCCCCCTTAGCCCACGCAGCTTAAACCAAGCCCGTCCAAAACAGAAGCCCGTCCGACCCAACGACCCGGTCCGGGCAAGAAATTATTCATCCCTCTCGGGGCAAAATAATAGGTAGATTATGATTATCCCCATCAGATGCTTCTCATGCAACAAACCCATCGCCAACAAGTGGGAGCCCTACGTGGCGCTTTTGAACGAAGGTGTGTCTGAAGGAGAAGCATTACAACGCGTCGGCTGCGAAAGATACTGCTGCAAAAGAATGCTGCTCGGTCATGTCGACATTATAGAGCGTTTGCTCATGTATAACCGTACGGCGTCCATCCAACACACACCTCACACAGCCAACCGCCTGGCCGAGCCAGCCCCTCTCCTCTCTAACCACTCAACCAGCCACCTGGCCGAGCCAGCCCATCTCCTTCCTCTCTAACCACTCAACCAGCCACCTGGCCGACGAGCCAGCCCCTCCCTCTCCAACCGCCCACGTCACGCCCGTTTTAACATTCAATGTACACATTTATTGTTTTGCAGCCCACGAGAAAAGAACTGCTGAAGAAGAGCAATCTCGATTCTAAGCCCAACTCATCTGTGTCGGCTGCCGTGTGGGTGGCCGCCCTTCCCCCCAGGCAGTCTCTCCACTGGACGACCAGTTCCTCCCCGGTTAGTTTAATCGCGTCGATCCATCACTCTCAGTCAGAGGTTGCGGAAGTCGGAGGGGTCTGTCTTGTTAAGTGGGTCGCGGACTGCGACGGCGGCGGCAGGGCCGGGACAGGTCTTTCCGTTGAAGTCGTCTTGGCTGATGCGGACGACACGGGTCCACTGGCCGTCTTGGGCGCAGTGACTGTAAGCGTAGAAGAAGGGGGCGCCACCTGTGCGTGCACGACCAAGGTCAGCGGGGCGGTAGTCCGCGGGGTTGGGCGCCGGTGGAACAGCGACGGCGACTGTGCCAGGAGTAGTCTTAGCAGTGACGGGTTCGGTGATCGGCGCGGGCGTGGTGACGGTCGCCAGTAGTCCGGTCTGGACGTTACGGAGTCCGGCCGCGTCGACGCCGGGCGGTCGACGTTGAAGGTCTTGTGCGACACGCCGAGCAACCGCGGGGTCGTAGCGCGCCTCAGCGACTTGCTGCATGTTGACTGCAGGATAGAACTGTTTGTCAACGGTCCCCACGATGCCCCCAGTCAGTTCCTTTTTCTCCAATGCTAACGCACTTGCCCAGTCGTCCAGCTGTCGTGAAAGGAAAGATGGTCTCCGATTGGCCGGTTTGTTCTCTCCAAATAGAAAGGCCTCTGTGCCGACAGGGAACATGTTCAGACAGGTCGCGTACGCGTCATACAGCGCCGCGGGCACCGCCGGGCCGTTTTTACGGTTCTGCAGCTCCATACCTGGCGCTACTTGGGCCGGCTGTTTGGTCCCCGTCTGACTCTTGAGTTTACCCTTGGTGGACATGAAGGGCATGACGGTGTTAGTCAGTTTGTGTGCGTGACAGAGCGGCTCACGTTCGAGCGACACATACTGCGACGGCGCAAGCGTCATGCGGCCCTGTTGCTCTAATTGGTCTCGCAAGTAAGCTTCAAGCAGCACACGTGAAACCCCACGATCGGCGTTCTGCCACGAGTCGTGGACAGCACCAACAGTGACCCACAAGTCATCTAGCGACGGCGTAACCAGCTGTGACAGCCACGGTGGCGGCGCTGCCTTGGCGTCGGTCTTGGGCACGTCCACGCCAGGCAGCGCAACTTGAAGCAATTCGAGCATGCGGGCGTCACCGACACGGTTGTCATAGTAACAGAGCAACTGAGTGCGGAAAGTCGCAGTCACGTCGAGTCCCTGCTTCGAGCTGCCCGCCAGTTGCACGGGCTGTGTGGCCGAGTGCAAATACGCGCGCGCCAACTGTTTCTCGAAGGCTAATTCGATCAGCGGCTCGTACTTGCGATACTTCATCTCCACCTCCGGTCCTTCGCGGAAGGCATGGCTAACGCGCCAAGCATCGGACTTCGGGGTGAGCGCGCCCTTGCCGCGGCCGACAAGTCGCAAATTATACTCCTTAACCGGCTGCGCGCCGAACGTCAACTGCAATGTCGCCGGCAACCCATCCGGACGCAACGCCCCCGCCGCCGCGACCTTCTCCGGCAACGCCTTGAGCGTTGCCTTGAGCCGTTTGGCAGAACGTTCGTCTTCACCGGAAACCCGTTGCGCCACTCCACGATAATAATCCGGCGCGTAATGGTCGCCATACTTACCCAATAATTTCTCATATTGTTCCGTCAGTCGTCTTGCCTCCGAACCCATGGACTGCAGCGAGCTGTAGTACTGCTTACGTCCGGGGACAGTAAAGTCGAGCGAGATCTGGCGCAATTGAACCGCAACCGTTTCCAGTCTGAGGGTATCATGCAGCCGCTTGTTCAACGGTACTAGGTCAAGGAAACCGGGGTGTGGGACGGGTGAATGGCTGCCTTTGGCGGGCAGTTCGAATAGGCGCATCATTTTTAGCAAAGAGGTGGTATGTGCAGCGAGCGCATTGAGCGCGCTTAACGACTGTCTTTTAACCACCTGTTCGGCCACCCATTGCAGTGGACGTACGCGTGACCAGGGACCGAAGAAGTCTTCCTGATCCTCTTCCTCCTCTTCCTCCTCTTCCTCCTCGTCATCTTCGTCGTAAGAAGAGTTCCGGTTCCGGTTCGAACCTTTGCGGCGTCCGACTAACTCCGCGAAAGAACGACCCAGATTTTCACCCATCATGGCCAACAAGTCGCTCAGAGTAGCCGTGGAAATGGAACCTGTGCTCGAGAGTGCTGGACCCTGCTGCAGTACCGCCAGGGCCTTGCCGAAAATATCCGCATACAACTTAAGACTGCGCGTACCGCGCGAGTAATACGTTGACATCATACGGATATTCGTAGGCTTGTAAAAGGCACCCTTCTGAATCATATAATAACCCTGCTTCCAGAAACGAGGGTCCTCAGATACACCAAATGCAATCGTCAAATTGCCTCCTCGTGCACGATAATGCACCACTCCTCGGTCAGCTATGTTCGTCGGCCACTGTCGACCGTACCACGCCCAACGCGCCGCCTGCCGTTCCGCCATCCGCGTCCGCAACTCCGGCGTGGGCATCAAAGCCGCGAATAACTGCTGACGCCACCAGGGCACTCCCTGCGCGTTTTCCACTCGCGTCTGCATTTCCTTCAAAGCCGCCGCCTGGTTCGGCGCTTTCTCCTTGATGCTCAACGTCTCTTTCGGAGCCAAAGGCCCCGGCACTGGCTGAATCTGGACCGCGCACACGTGTGCGATCAGAAATAAGATACCAAACCTCATCCAAACACGATGCACCCAACCGCTCACCCGTTCACATCTTCCCGCATGAGCACAGATAAACTTTCGTCGGTCAACACCTCGTCTGCTACCGGCTCTTCGGGCACGGGATGGGCAATTCCTGTTAGCTGTTCTGCAAGCAGGTTGTCTGCAAGCAGGTTGTCTGCAAGCAGGTTGTCTGCAAGCAGGTTGTCATTAAGCGGGTCCGAAAGCGGGTCGTTCTTGATGTGGTCTTCGTCCATCTCAGTAACCTGGGACATTGGCTGAATAACCGGCGTACGCCAGGACCCCTCCTCTATGGCTGCTCGGTTAGTTTGAGGCAGACGGCCAGGTTGGTCCGGGCATTTGATTTGAGATAGTGTTCCTCCAGGTCCCATTCCTCCGGTCCTGTTTCCTTTTGTGACTACATCTCCATCCGAGGATGGTAAGGAGCCGGGTTGGGCTTTAGCGGATCCGGAAGAAGACTCTGACCGTTGTTTAGTGGGTCTGGCTGTCGCGGTTATGGCTGCTGTGGTTGTCTTTGTTCTTTTATCGCTGCCTTCTAGGTTATCATCGGCGTTGTCTTCATTAATTACTCCTCTGAGTTGTACTTGTAATACGAGGAAGGGCAGTCCATAGTGTTTACGCATGGAGACGACCATCCGTGCTAGGTGTGCGATAAAGTTACGCTCATCGCTCGTCAACAGATCGGCCAGCACATGTTGATAGGCGGTGCTGGTGAATCGATAAAATAGTGGTACGCCATCAGTTTTTATTCCGTACAGAGTACGGCCCTGTAAATTTTCCACGGTCTTTTGTACAAACTCTGCTTGGGAACTAATTATCGAACGTTCCGAGTCCAACGCGTTATATTCTTTAACGGCACTCCGAAGCCTCGCCGTAGATGCAGGCATTTGCTGACGGTATCGATGTCCCCGTTCCGCACTTACGCCTGAGTAGTTCCGACGACCTGGCTTCCGCGGCCCCGACGAAGGCGGCGATGCGCCTGACGTCTCCGTCTTCATGAATGAAGGACGTCCTCGAGATCTCTCGCGCCTATCCGGGTGGGCACGACTCCCGAACTCATTGAAGATGTTGTGACTGTCCTCTCCGCCTTGGAACCGAGACCTACGCTTCACCAGCGGCCCTTGACTCGAAGCGTAACTAAAACACACGTGTTCCCATATAAGCGTTTGTGTGTCTATTTGTGCACACGTGTGTGTTCTTGTACAGACAGAGTGTGTTCCGCACACGTGTGTGTGTGCGCTTACTTGAAGGCGGAGGTGGTGTTTTTGATGCTGTTGCTGTCTGCGGGTGCGAGTGGGTTGGGAGTGGGTCCGCTGGGTCTGCGGCTGCCTTGTACGTCGCGTTTATTAAAGGTGTGTATGTCTTTATCTTTGGGTCGTATGATGTTGTCGTCGAAGCGGAGGACGCCGAGAGCGGTGGTGTCGCTGGGTCGACTGGTGCCGTTGGCAGAGGCTAGATTGGAGGTGGGTGCAGGGTCTTCGGTAGGTCGGCCGGTGGGGGCGACGACGACGGCTGATCGACGATACAGAGAGGCGTGTCTCAACAAAGCTTCTTCCGCGAGATGTGCTTCGTTAATCAAATCGCCTTCGGAGGTAGTGCTATCTTTAACGGACGAACCTAGCTCATCATCGGTACGTATCGTCGAACTCGGGTCGTCTCTAGGATGTCTCGCAAACGCTTTCAAAACACTGTATAAATCCAACTCTTCTAACTCAGCGTCCGTCGGTGGGTCGCAAATCTCCAATAACTCACGACGCAATAAGCTCTCAACAATCGCCTCCAATCGACGCAATGTTATCGCCTTGGGGAAAATCGCAGATAGTTCATAGAAACAAAATGGTAACGTGAACACAGACGCACACTTCGCCACCAATTGCTCCTCTGGTTCTAGTGCCTCAATTAACATCATCGTCGCTGCCCTCAACTGCGCAATGTACGGTACCGAACGCAGGTCCCGTGTCACTACCAACCGCTTCTGTTTACTACTCGGCTCTATCAGTCGCACCAATCGGTCGTTATCCTCAGGAAATGGTACGCCAAAAATTCGCTCCGTCATGCGACTGTGCAGAGTCAACGACCCCTCCTTCTCTGCGTACTCCACCGGCCCCGGACACCCAAAATGGTTCGGCACATTCCGCCCATCCATTCCACGCACACCCTCGATTCCTTCTCCACGCGTCTCCCCGCGGTCGTCGTCACGCTCCGTACCGTCGCCCTCCTCCGTCACGCGACCGCCCCCCTCCGAAATTTGTCGGATACCGCCAAGCCCCGCACCAGGACCGCCTCCGGCCCGGACACCATTGGTACCGGGTAGAAGACCGGGGCCGCGACGGATCCAGTGACCCATGCCAGTGATGATGTTACCCTGAAAGGTCACGTCGCGTTCAACCACACACCCGCGTAACTGCGCCACGTCGTTGCCTTCGAACTTAAAGCCCACTAACACGCCGCAACACGTTGGCAACACACGCCGTCGTCTGATCACGATCCGTCGTTCCCGCTCCGTCAACGCTGCGTCCCGGGCAACCTTCCGTTCCTGCACTGTGTCGTAGTCCGCTAGGTCCTCCTCGCTCGTCGTCGCAACGCTCTCTTCGCCGTGGAACTGTGCACTCGTCGCAGCACCACTCACGTACACCTGACTGTCCGCACGTGGTGGTGGCTTCTCTTCACTCGTCCCCGTCCCCGTCCCCGTAGTGCTACCCCCCGTCCCCATAGTGCCACCCCCCGTCCCCGTAGTGCTACCCCCCGTCCCCTTAGTGCCACCTCCCGGGCCCGTAATGCCACCCCCCGGCCTCGTGGTGCCGCCCCCAGTAGTCGTGGCAGAAGTAGTGACACCCGCCCCGAGGCGTGTGTGTGAGACGACGGGTACGGCTTCGATGGCGTCATGGTGTAGAAGCTGGCGCGCGGTCAGCGCCACATAGTTGAGGTAGCCGGCACTCACGCGATGTACATAATCGACGACTTCGCCAGGTATTTTTTTCTTGCTGGTTTTATAGTAGTAGCTGAGGAAAGAGCGCGTTTCGGAGCGAGAGAGTTTGCCCAAGTTCATAAAGAGGCCACATTCTCGGGCCCAGGCGCAAAGTCGGGAGGATTCGCGCACGTTGTTCTGACTACAGACCACGACCAACAGAAACGGTGGGAAATAAACTGTCGCCGGCGGGCGACAACGACTCGTCCACTTCGCCTTTGCCGCCTCGCCATTGCTGCGCTGACTGACTCCCTTACACCATGGACAACTCCAACTGTGCCGCCGTCGCCAACGACGTAAATTCTGACATTCCAACTCCACACGCCGACGCCGACGCAATGCCGCCATGTTCGCCAATAACGCCAATGTTTTCCAGGAATCACCATCCATACTGCTGTACAAACTCGTACCTTGCCTCACACGTACTATGATTACCGTACGCTCGTTCATCGTGTACCCGTTTATCAACGAGCAAATCGCAGGCACCACAACCGAAGACTAAAGCATGGACGGAATGGGCTAGGTGAATGGGTTAGGTGAATGGGTTAGCGAGGGTGAGGCTGATAGGTAGGCCGGGGGGAGGCACGTGTGTTAGGTCAGGTAGGTGTATGGTTTACGTGGACACCGAAAGCGTCTTCGACAGAGACAAGTTCTTCTTCCTTGGAAGAGCGTTCGACATCGGGAGTGACGGAAGCGGCTTTGTTCCAGGAGCCTCTGGAGTGTTGGACGAGATTTTTGAGACTGCTGAGCAGTTTGCTGGTACCACCGGTTGTGGCCACGGAGGATGAGCGGTCGCCTTTGTCTGAGCCTGCGGAGACGGAGCCAGGTCCAGGTCCAGAGCCTCCTGCCGGTCCATCGGTGGCAACAAGATATGAAGTGCGATGGTTCCATTTTTCAACAGGCTGATTACGAGGTAATTCACGGGGGAGGACCAGGCCTTTAACAACAGCTTTCATAGCAGTGAGTCGCCAGTGGAAGAGTGGATGTGTGAGTTCCTTGGTGAGTGAATAGATGGAGTTCTTTTCATCGACAGCAGTATAACCTTTTTGTTTTCTGATTTGTGATTTTTTCCAACGAAAGACAACATCGGTGCAAAGTTTTCGGAATGCGAGTAAGGGTACGTTAGCGACGGGTAGATAGGAGGCTTCTGGTGTGTTGCTGCATATGAATACTTGATGGCCACTGGCTTCGGCGAGATCTTTGAGGTATTCGACCAATTCGAGGGAGCCTTGAACTTCTCGGCCTTGGATGACCATAACGCCACCTAGATCCATAGCGTTCCTGAGTGTGGGCAGCCAGGGTTCCTTGATCTCCCAAGGGTAGCAGGGTCCGTAGCCATTGTAGTCAAGTACGGGCAGCGGGAGGTCGAAGTTGGCAACAAACGGGCGGAATCGGACGGGAGGGAAGAAGAGACGACGCAATACCGACGTTTGTCGCCAACCCGGCCAGTAAGCGACGGCAGGATCTAGAGACTTCTGCTCATCGAACTTCTTGAGTCGACCCGGCGGCCGGAACATGGGAACCAGGTCCGCTTTACCCTTCATCTTCACCGGGGCCAACTCTTCAAACTCTATTGCGTGCGAACACAGTAGATGTGTCGTCTGGTCACACAACACCTCATCCACCTTTGCCTTACCCATTAGCCTCGCTGCCAGATTAACTGTGTCCCCTAACGCCGTGTACTCCTTACGGATGTCACAACCCACCGTACCAACCCATACTCGTCCTGTAGCCACGCCGATACCACAAGCCAGTCCAAGTGTCTTCAGTCCCTCGCCAATCCGCAGACTGCATAACACCGCACGGATAGGATCGTCCATATGATAAACTGGCGGCAGTCCAAACATAAGTAGAACTACGACACCCTTGTCGTCAACCGAGAACTTGTTCACGCTGCCTTCGAGTAGATATGCGCTTTTCTGGCAATACTGCATCAGGGAATTCGCCTTAATGCTGCCCACATGTGTGTCCACATCCAGACCCTTAACGGACACGAATATAACCGAAAGTTGACGTAGCTCATTCGAAAAGGCGTTGAAACCCGCGTTCAGTCTTTTGTAGATCGGAGGTGGAATAAATCTTTTCAACAACAGAATACACGAGTGCTCTAGTCGAATTTTTTCCAACGGCGGTGGCGCCGCCGTCGCTTCACCAGCGAGACTCACGAGCTTGTGGTGTTGCCCCGAATCGGGTACCTCCTCGGTAATGACTCCACCACCGTCTGCGCTGGAGCGTAGTGTGGCCACGACCTCAGGTGACAACACTGTATCACCTGAGCTAGCGAGAGGTTCGGCGATGCTAATTTGCGTCACCGGAGGTCCTGCCACCACGAAGTCCCATCGGTCGAGAGTGCCGCCAACTTGGAGGATGGTTATGGGACCATAACCGACTCCAATGTGTAGAGTGAATACACGGTCTTCAATACCGGCGGGGAACCCGTTGAGATTTCGATGAAGATCGAGACAACATTGACATGCCAATTTACACGCCGTAACCGGATCAATTTTGTACGTGCTCATACTGTCGCTCAGGCTGTCATCAACGCCCCAAACAATGGTGACTGCATCACCGGCGAACTTGATAATGTCTCCGCCCCAAAAGTTAATTATCTGTATTAAACTCGTAAAGAAGTCGTTAATGACATTGCCCAGTCGCTCTGCACCATTCGGCTGCTTATTAAACGCTTCGGTAACAGCCGTAAAGCCGCTCGCATCACAAAATACCAGTGCTCCACTACAACGGTCAACCACGATGTCAAAGTCGTCCGCTAATCGGATCTTCTCATCCACGATTCCTTCCAAGACTGCCCGAGGTACGAAGCAACTAAATCGATCAATCTCACTTACCTCCACCACCGCCACTGGCGCGCTCCGACCCGCATTCCCCATGTGTAACTTGTTAAAGGCACGCTCCGACTTATTCAGCAACCATACCCAATTCTCAACTAACCCATCCTCCGGCACCTCATCCGTACCCAAAGTTGGTAAGTCCGCCGGCAACTTGGATCCCTGTTTCCGCAACACTATCACAAATACAGTACAGGCACGCCTATTATGCGGTCACCCCCACACAGACGTGTCAAGTATTCTTAGCACACGCATACGTCAACGCGCACACGTCTACGCGCACACGTCTACGCGCACACGTCTACGCGCACACGTCTACGCGCACATGTCAACGCGCACACATTAACGCGCACACGTCAACGCACACACGTGTGCCGGTGCAGGTGCCGGTGCAGGTGCAGATGCAGGTTAAATGCAGCGACATTATTGATATGAACATGCGTACCACACAGTCCGCAAACACGCCGCTGCTGTGAACCCTTTACTTTTGATCGGCATCGGTGTTTTATGCGTAAGTCCCAAACCTCGCCGGAGTCGTCGTCTTAAATATTTTTGCTGATGACTACCGAGAGTACGACCCACAACCGCACCTCAAATTCTCAACGCTTTGTAGTCTGTATGGACGAACCCCCTCCATACTGTGAAGACGAAGAGGATGAACCAGACCCAGTCGATAGCAGCGACGACGTCAGAACGTAATGCTCTCACTACTAAGCTCAGCCGGCGCGTGTTATGATTCCGCCAGCACATTCAACTCACACCTTTAGGTCGGAATGTGAAGATTATACAGAAAGCGACGATGAAGGACAACGGGATTATAAACCAGGAGGTTATCACCCCGTCAAAATTGGGTGAGTCCCCTTAACTTAATGATACCTGGTCGTCTGACCCCCCTTGGTCATCTGACCCCTCCCTGGGTCGTCTCACCCCCCTTGGTCGTCTGACCCCCCTTGGTCGTCTGACCCCCCTTGGTCATCTGACCCCCTTTGGTCATCTGACCCCCCCTAGTCGTCTGACCCCCCTTGGTCATCTGACCCCCTTTGGTCATCTGATCCCCTCTTGGTCGTCTGACCCCTCTTGGTCGTCTGACCCATGCGTCCCCCTGGTCGTCTTCCGCCTGGTCGGCTTCCGCCTGATCGTCATACTGCTGATTGAACGTTTAATTTTTCGTAGGGAAGTGTACCACGGCCGGTACCGAATTGAGGCGAAGCTCGGATGGGGTCACTTTTCGACAGTGTGGCTGGCGAGTGATTGGAAGGTACGTACGCCGGCACCTCGATATGTGGCCATCAAGTTCCAGAAGTCAGCGCATCACTATTTTGAGGCGGCGCATGACGAGATAGAGTTGCTGAAGACGAGTAACTGTCCTCCGATTCGTGTGCCGAGTTATGCGGAATCGGCGAGCAAGGCCTTGGAACTGGCGACGCTTCCGGCGGGAAGTGGGGTAGTGGACCTGGTGGATTACTTTGTGCATGAAGGACCACATGGCACACATGTATGCATGGTGTTCGAGGTCATGGGACCAAACCTACTCCAGCTCATCAAACAATACAGTTTTCAAGGAATCCCATTCGATCTGGCACGCAAGATTTCCGTACACGTGCTAGTGGGACTAGACCACCTGCACCGACGGTGTCACATCATTCATACTGACCTCAAACCGGAAAATGTACTCGTCTCACGAGACGTCATACCTCTTACAACCAACATGGTCCAGCACCTGCAGAAAGAACACCAGGCACAAACAACCGAACAGCAGTCACAGAATACAGGCAACAATACCAATCGCAGGAATCCACCTAAAAGTAAAACCTCCCTCAACAACAAATTGTCCTGCCCCCCGAGTGCGAATGCCCCCCGAGTGCGAATGCCCCCCGAGTGCGAATG